TATTTTTTTAATATTAAGCATTATTTTAATAATTTCTTCCTCAATCCAAATATTTATTATTACAAATAGTAGTCATTTTGTAAATCTGATATATTACTATAATTGATTTACAAACTGTTTTGTTCTTTCATTGCAAATTATAGAAATATCTATACATTTTAATGAAACGAAAAATATATTCGATATAATCGATGAAGAAGAATGAAAACATATTCATTCGCTTTGGTCTGTCTATTTCATAATATTATGCTTAGACGAAAAAATCGAAAACAGAGAGGAAAACATACTAACCGCGTCGTAAAATCGATCAGTTAAATATATCGATTCGCATCTTCGTTGGCGCAACGTCCTATATTTATCATTCACTGACAAGCCGTATATTAAAATAATTTGAAGGTTTCCATAAAAAAATTCAAATGATACTTATAGCATATAGAAAACGCAACGTTGAGTTCTCTTCGCATAACATTCACATAACTTTTACTTTTATTGGAAGACAATCAATCTTGTATTCAATTATGTTCGTCATAGTCAAGTATGTCAAAGTCATAACTCGGTACCACGAAAATGCGAAAAAAAAAGGCCAATTATATTATTCCGTACCCGTGAATTAGGCTCGGCTTATATTCCATGTAACGATGTTACTACTCACAGAAGAAGTCACATCGGTAATCCCGAAGTAAAAATATCGACGGTCGAATTCGCGGCTTGTGACACTTAACACGTGCGTCTCGGCGTGTGTCTCGCGGTAATTGTACGCGCGTAATTGTCACGCACGTGTTCCAGCACGACGCGACGACTTCCAAAAACTGCTGGCCGAATTGTAGGAAGGTCCCTGGTTCACGCGCGTTACGCGTACGCGGCGGGCGAGCACGCGCGTGTTTACGCGTGCGCGCGCGCGGAACGGCCGAGCGCACGGTACCAATATCCATACTGGCGAGTCACCGCTTTATTTTCCACCGTTACATCACTGTCGCCGGTAGCTTCGGCATCGGCATCACGTCGGCCTCACGACGACAACGCGCCGCCTCGCTCTTATCGCCGCGCAAATAAACGCTCGCGCGAAACTGCAACACGCACGTATAATAATTTGCATGGGATGCAGATTGCGACAATTCGGCGCGATCGGCGCAACGACCGAGGCAACGATCGAAAGGCGAAATGTGAAGCCGCAATGAAACTTTATTCGTACTTTCTGTTCCCCCTTATCTTCTTCCTTTTTTAACGATTACGATATGTTTTTCTTTGAAAAAGACAAACAATTGATTTTTTGGCAAATCTATTTAATTTTGTTTCTCAATTTTGTTACTCAAATTATCAGTATTACTTTTATGCTTTTGAAGATTTTTTTATGTACATATTTTTCATGATGTAACATTGATTAATTAAAATTGCTATTATTTAAGTTCACTTACTACTTAAGTTAACTTGTATTAAATTTTAATAGGATGCATATATTGACTACATTTATGATTTTATAATAGGAATTTTCTTATTTAAACTAGAGAATTACTGTCGCTAATTAATATTCAAACTGATATACGTGCTTATAAAATGTCATGTAATCTTTAAATAGCTTGTCAAACCTTGGAATTGATTTATGCTAATTTAGTAAAGTTAGATCAGTATAACGAACCTGTTATATTGTGTTAATAAAATTTGTCAAAAAAATTGTTTGCCTTTTTTGAGGCTTAAATATTTAAGAATGATGATATATGGAAATCATATGACTTCTTAAATTTTGTTTCATTCCATATTCAACAGCATTAAAATCGAAAATTATTTCATATTTTTAATAGAAATTAATTAGGCTTATGCAATACATACATCAATTCATTGACAACCAATATAATTGTTAACATATCTTTTAACTTAAAACACTTACCTTTTAAATTAGCTTTAAATGAACATCTCAAGTTCACGTTGATATTGAAATTTTATTTTTCTAAAATAACTCGCGTTTATAAAACAATTTATTTGTAATAATAAAACGAAATCGAAAATATTATTTTAAGCAATATTTTAATAGAACGTAGCAAAAAGGTAATTCAAAATTGATTTATGTTGCAGATTAACACTAGATCCCAAACATATTGAGATCGAAGATAATTTATTTTATTGACCGGAACATTGATTTTTTTCAGGTGGACGCGCAATTTTATAGCGAAAAGAAATGGAAACGAACGATGGATGCATTGTATGATACGCCCATTGCTATACTGACATTCCTGCATTTCCATGCTTAGTACGTGCTGGTTGGCTTACATTAGGCGCAATGAACACGATCCGTCAATGAAAAGGCCTCGACAGAGGATCCGTTTCACGGACTTACGATAGCTTGTATATTACATGGGTGAATCGTTCGAGGAAACGTTCAGATCATCAATTCATTGTGAATTAGCAAACCGTTAGTTCTGTCAACTGATAATCACATTGGGAAATTTTATCGAACATTGAAATATTGAACATTGAAATGTAAAAGAAAAGAAAGATGGAGAGCCTCTATTAAAAAAAGAACATGATGATAGCAAATATTCTTTTATTAAAAATTTTTTAAATGAATACAACGTAAGCAATTTTAATCGGTTAATATTTGAAAAGTATAATAACAAATAAGATGGGAACAAAATTTTAGCGAACATAAGCGAAGTGTGTTATGGCGATTTAGTAATTAATAATGGAGTAAATAGTAAATAGTAAAGGAATAAATAGTAGTAATAATATAAGGAACGTAGGTTTTTGAAAAAAATATCAGCTCTCTGTGTTTGTTTTATATTTACCTCTAGTCTGCGGCTTTTTCTTATCATTAACCAGCACTACAAATAATTCCATTTTAGATCTTATCATTTGACTGTTATTATTTCAACATGCACGTAGCCAAATCATTTAATCGATTAACTAATTTGTTCGTGAATATACTCAAAATATTAATTATTAGAAAATGAAAAACTTTTTTGTGATTTGTGTAAAATGTTACAGACGCGTTTTTATTTCTAGACTAATAAAGCTCTATTTGTTACACAAGATAGAAATGCTTCAAATAGTTATTTTATCGATAAAATCATTATTCGCAGATCTTTTAACAAAAATTAATCAATTTTGGAAGATGAAAGGTACAAAAGAAAAAATTATACAAAATAAAATTTTTGTTCTCGAAAATTGTAATTTTCTCTCTATAGAATTTTTTATATTGTATTCTTTTTTTTAATTTACCGAAGACAAAATTTTTTTTTATCTTGAGAAAAAGATTGCTTTTTTCACAATAACGCACATGAGATATTAAAATTTGCTACGTAATATATAGATACTTAGAAGAGTGGCGAACAATAAAGAAATATCAGTGTTTATCAAAACATGTATAACGATTTATTGAGGATCTATCCAAGCATGTTAAATTTCTTGAAATGCAGGTACCTATCTATGTCTACTTGCTAGTTTTACATTAGACGCGCAATTTTACTCGAAAAAACTGGACCGTGCATACGCATATGATCCGTATCTAATTTAGAAGGAGAGTTGTGTTCTGTGGAGTTGCCTTTTTTTCCTCTTTTTCTTTATTATTTTTTCACATCAAAATATCTTCTCCGCCGGCACGATCGATAGTCACGTGTATATATATATATATATATATATATATATATATATATTATTGTGTGTGTGTGTGTAGTGTATATATGTATGTACATCGGTATAAGTCTTGATTGAACGTTTCCCCAGTTTTCGCGGCGACCGAGTTACCAGGTATCGACTTTCGGAACTATCGGTTACCCAAGCTTTTCCCTAGATTGAATATTCAAATTAGTTGTTGTGCTCAAATCGCGGAGAATATATCGCTCTTCCGCTTAATTTCGAGCGTAATGCCGCCGGTACCGTGAGACATCAAAGGTCTCGAAAAAGTGGTCCCCGCTCCGCGGGAGAATTTCTTGCTTTTGTCCCCCGATCTCGCAATGCATTTATACTTCTTCCTTAGTACATCCACTTAACATCCCGCTGGATTCGCACAGTCGATAAACTTTGCGGCGGGACGTTAAGACGAGTTAAGGAACGCTTTGTATCCTATCTGAATGAATAAGCTTTAAAACGTAATTACTCGTTCTTTATTCTTCGAAACGATCTTACAAAACGACCGCTATCTAGAAATTAAATTCAAAGGCGCTTAGACAATGGAAAGAATTATTATTGCGACTGTGCGTATTCGAGAGAATGATGTATCTTATTCTCTCTCTTTTGACGTTGCAATGGATTTTAAAACCAAAAATATCACACGTTAACATCGGTGAATCAGTTATTTGAATGCAGGCGGTTCAACATTGGGAAAGTAGATGGAACTTTGTCGTTTCCGAGATGGATTGCTGAATCACGCGAGAAGAGTCGTGTTTTCTATCACGCCATCAGTTGGATGCAACGAGAATCGTATATATAACAAGTATGTTTATTGCGAAAAAGAATTGAGCTTTTCATTCGCAAATGAATACCAGAAATAGATCAGGAAGTGATCAAAGGATTGAGACATTTACATTAAATAGACATTTAAACAGAGGTATTCAATTGAAGAATCAGACTCTCCTTTAATGATTGGCAATTCTTGGATCTTTTGATTAATGCTTTTATATGCGATGTCTGATTGCAAAGTCTTCAAGTTGTGAAATAATTGTAGCAACTTGTTATCATTTTAAAAAACAGGTTATAAAAGAAAAATTATTTTTACATTTTGTGATAAAAGCATTATATTATTATATTTAAATATATATAATTTTTATCAGCTGTAAATAATGTCAAGACAAAGAGCTAGATTTTAATAATTTATATGGCAATTTATCATTTAATTTATTTGTATACATCTAAGTCTTTTCTTATTTATTTTATATTTTTCTCTAACATTTTTGCCCTTTTTATATCTTATTTTAAATAAAAAATATAAAATAACCAAGCATTTTTCTCGACGTAATTTCTCTCCTTTCGACAATTTAAGTTTCTTCCTTTGTCTTTGGTCTAATGAAATAATCAGATCAAAAACACACGAAATTAAACAATAAACAGGAAATCGTCCAATAGTAATCAAGCATTTTCGAAAACAGTTAAATCACATGATATAGATGAATCTGGTATATCTTGTCTATTTAGTTATACACATATCTTTATCCTTTGGTAGTATCACTGCGTTACCAATATTATAAGAGCAATTTTGCCAGCATTTGAGTTTTAAAAGTAAATTTGAAAATTTTGAGGACTAGTTTCGAACTTTAAGATTGAGGTAAGACAATTATTTACGATTGATGATTATTCATTTTTAGAAAATTATCGTTTGAGAGATAGATATATATAAAAAAAAAGCAGACGTTATTTGCTTTAGAATTAGATCAAACTGAGATTTTTCAAAAATATTTTCCTTTACTATACGATTTTTTATTTGCAATGGATGAATGATTATCGTTCGGCTGACTATTTTTTGAATTCGTTATCTTATCATCATCGACAGTTGCGGAGAAAGTATTTTTATACTTGAACAACAGAAAGGTTTGATCCTGAGATGAGATCTGAAGAGAAAGAAAATGAACCTCAGGATGCTGATTTACAAACGACCACTCTATCATGTATCTCGAAAATGGATTTTACACTGCCAAAATATCGCAATAACATAAGTCCCGCGATCGACAAACTCATGCGAATGATAAATATGTCGAGCTTGTTGACCTCCGATGATTCATCTGATGATTTGCCAATATCGACGAATCGCATTTTTCCGTTCAACTATTATCTCGGCAATGACAAAAAATTCACAGTTCCTATCTTGAGTATTCCTAAAGAAAGTTTGGATGTATGTTTCTCAAGCCCGAAGCCGTTTGTCAGCACTTACAAAAGAGACGCAGAAGATTACGGTGCGTATTCGATGATGCCACTGATGAAAAAGATCGAGTCTTCGTTATTCCAAATTGTACGGGAACCTTCGTTGTCGGAAGTGCAGGAAGTCGATCCGAATAACGAATCAGCTCAGTTCGGGTATAACGAGGTAAAAAAAATGAGAATTTCATAATATACTACGAAAAAAAATAGATGACAAAATAATAAATGTATATATGATGATTGAAATAATAAATGTGTATAGGATATTATCTATGTGTCCGAGGTGTATTTCTTATTGATGGCATCCAACAGAAATAGAAGGCATAATTTGCGCGAGAGATCACGAAGGAATTCGAAAGATAGCGCTTTCAGTGAGTTTATGGGATCTGACAAAGACCAAATGGAAGTTTGATTTCGTCATTAAGCATCGATGAGGAATCAACGAGGATAATGAAAATTATTGGCAATGACAATGTTATCTCTTATGTTTCTATTTTTATGAATTAAGTTTGCATTTCGAAAAATACAATGTGTGTGTTTTATTTATAATTAATTTAATTAATCAAATTTAATCAAATTGGGTTATTTGATGTTAGGATGTTAGATGATGGCAATTTTTTAACTTGAAATAACGTTAAATTGATTATCTTATTAAATGACAAACAATCTTAACAAATTAATAATTACACAAGAGCAAGGTTTTTATTTAATTGTAAAAATAAATTTTATATTTTAATAAGCTGATTAAAAATTTGCGAATTTTTAATATTCTTCTATTATTTTCTATAAATAATATCTAAAGAGATATTTAAAAAAAATAATATCTAAAGAGATATTTTATCCGTATTAAAAACTTTTAACTAGTATCTATGTTGTATGAGTGATTCGTAGATTAGTATTATTCTTAATATTATTTATATTGAGATTTTATTCATTTATACATACAATATCAAATATTTAAATTTTGCGTTTTAACTACCAATCTTTTATACATATCTCTCTCTTTTAATTGATATTTTGTTTTATATACTTTTATTTGTTGATTCTACAATTGTGTAAAACACACACATAGCTAAAAAAAGGTTAATAAAATTATTGAAGTAATTGTAATAATTGAAATAATTGAAATAATTATAAGCCTCTGTTTGATGTTTGTCCGCTCTTGTACAGCTCATTATAATTTATATAACATTTTGAATTTTCGTTGCGTGCTTAACTTTGTTTATGTCAGCGTTCATTGTTTACTAACGTCGCGTAGCGCCTGTAACGACTCTTTGTTGAGTCAGTACCGAGCCATCGAGCGATACGGACGTAACGAACACACACGAGGAGACGATAATTTTGTAGTTCTCTAAATAAAGTAGTATTTTTGCAACAGAACTATGCACACATTATGCCATAAATTGGTCGCGGCAAGAGACGCGAAAACGCGATAGCACGAGTTATTTATTAATGGTAGTTATTAATTAATGTTTATCATTTTGCAAAGGATGTATGAAATCGGTTCGATAGATTTTCGCGCGCAATGTTAGACGACAAGATTGACAAGATAGACAATCGCGTTCTACGTTACGGCACGTTTGGGGGGAGGGGGGAGGGGGGAGGGGGAGGGGGGGAACTTTAGGATATGTCGCCACCTCCTGGCACAAGCGAGCGTTTGTATCGATTGTTATCGATTATGCTGTCCAATTAGGTAGATTTTTGCGATTTCAATGGTCGTGACGTCCAATGGTCAGCGAGCTCAACTTTTCCGCCTGCGAATCGCCATTTATTCCATTCCCGCGAAAATCGATTTCTATCGACGCGATACGTCCGTCAGGAGCGTTCGCGACCGCCCAATTTTCAACATGTCCGACGAGGAGCAGGATGTACATCTGCTGACGATGTACACAGATGTACGTGCGGTATATACTGGTTGCTCTCAGGAGCGCATCCTGTGCTATCGAGAACGCGTCGCCTGACATCGACTGAGTGTAGCAATCTCGGGACGTAATCCTCCTTTACATCAGGATCTGAGAAATTCTTACAGCGCGGGCGCAGATAAACCGTGGACGATATTCTACTCATTCTGGAAGCGTTCGCGACGAGAGCACACGTCGAAAACGTCATCGTCTAACGAGTTGTGTTGGTCGAGCGAATAAACACGCTCGGCCTGTCCACGTCGAAACATTCACGCGCATCTGCCTCAACGAGGATTCGTCTACGACAACCTACGTGGACGAGGTCGGCAATCCCGATGAACGTGGAAAGGACGTCTGAGAAAAGGAACGTCGGCGAGGGCAGGACGAACACGGAGAGGCCGCGGACCGTCGGCCGTGGCGAAATCTTGCGGGACTCGGCGAGAGACAAGGACGAATTCACATCCGATTACTCGACCATGGAGTCGATCGTGCCGGACAGCGACGATTCGTCGTCGAAAGTGACGTCCGACAATTCGATCGATCAGCTTCCGCCACGAGGGACGCAGCAAAACGGCCGGCCATGCCGCGTCTGCGAGAACGCGGGCGTTGATTCCGCAAGAGCGAAGGCAGGAGAGGCTGATAACTCTGTAAACGCCAAATCGATTCACTCGGCCGAATCTTCAAGCGTCACCGAGGAAGGCGAGGTGTTCAAGACGGACACATTCGACGATCTTTACAATCGGAACGTCGACCTGGCGCAGCGCTACGTAGAGAGAATGATGGCCAAGGAGCAGGACAGCGGTTGCTTCGGGGGTAATTGGTCGAAAAAGCTCATGAGCATGTCGACGATATGCCGATCGCCTCAACGATTCAAAAAATCCAAGGAGAAGAGCCCGGTGAGCCCGGCGGTTATACGAACGAGCTCGCCGACGCGGGAAAACGCGAGAACGTCAGGGAACGACGAGAACCAGGAACAGAGAACTCAGACTCTGAAGTTGCGTTTCACGATAACGAGGGAAAAGAGGCAGGTCCAGATTTCCGAAAGACTCAACCCAGGTAACGCGTTTCACCTTGAAACGCGGAAAATGGTCGATCGATGATCGTGGCGTGCCGCGTAGCAATAACAACGATTTCAGACCTTGAGTGCCATACGTTTTTGCATCGGCCCGACCGACGTCGTCGCGAGATATCGCTCGTGGTGCCTCGTTGTCGCCCACCTGTTACCTATCCTTTCGTAAATCGTTCTCGATGTGGAATATTTAATATTTTCGTTTATTATGCATGATTTCAACGTATCTGACATAAATATGTAAATATAGATTTTAAGACAGTGACTAAAAAAGAAGGATAAGAGAGTCGTTTATTGTTTCGTGTGACAAAATGGTAATTTACAATCGACATTGGCAACCGGTTACAAGACTAAAGACGTGACTCGCGATTAAAAGTTCTCCGAGAGGTATTATAATTACTTTTGAACTCTACGTGCTGCGAGGCAGTTCACGATGGACGGAAAAATTCGATTTTTTCTTCTGTTTTTTTTTCACGACGGTATTGTTTTCACAACTGCTGCCTCGTCTGGATCGCGGACACTTAAGCAAAGATAAATCGCGTTGTGTACATGCGATAGGCGCGATTAATGATTTCACGTTGCGTAATCATCTTGAGCGAATTAATAAACGCCGGGCGTTACACAATCATCTGTTGCGTAATTATACGAAATTAAGCGCGCGAACGCGTTTTTATCGCATTTCCCCAGCTAATCTCGGGGCTTTCTTTCGCCTCGCCCTTTTTCGCGACGTTTTTCGCGGAAAACGCGAGTGCAAACCGGAGCAAATGGAGCATACATTTCGAAGCATATATTTCGCACTTCCATGCAGCGAGAGAATGAAAATGGAGGATTCTGGTCCGCTGCGTAGCAGCAGTTCTTGGCGAATGTCAAGCACGATTTATAAAGCGAGCACGAGAAAACTCGAAACGAACGTAAATCACGTGGGCAAGAAACACGAAGGAAAAACGAGATTACGCGTCTTAACGCTTGCAGTTCCTTCGCGCAACGTATACAGACTCATTAATTTTTATGAGGCGAGGTGTATAGCGCTTTGTTTTACGCGTAAAGTCGCTCGATCAATATTTAAGCACAATCGTTGTGTGCGCGTACTAATTTAATTGCGCGATGCAACGAATCGCTTTGTAGCGCCGCTCTGTGTCTAGGTTAAAAAAAAAAAGATGCTTAATTGGGATTACGACGAACAGCTGTAATTAATGCCGTTGCCGTGCGAGGTCGGTAGATAATTCGCTCTTTATACGAACACTTACTCGGTGAAGAGAAATTTACAAAGTACTTTAAAAAGAAGCTATGGTCTTTTCAAGCGATTACACAAAACTTCTATTTTCCGTTTAATAATTTCTATGAAGAAATAATATTGTGTTAAATTTAGTTATATATTAGAATACTTATCGATTTAATTACATATTAGAATATTTATTGAATGAAAATATTATGTAATATTTGTAAATATTTTACGTATGTTTGATGAATGTCTTTCTCATCGTAAATCATCGTTGCTTCTGTCAACAGATGTCCCGTTTCCACCGTCACACAAAATGACAGTGGCAGAAGTCTTCGACGAACGAACGGGATCTCCGCGGCCGGAGGTCCTGAAGCAACACTTTATCCTCGAAGGTAGGATCGACGAGACCGCGGCTCTTCGTATAATCAACGATGGAGCCGCTCTTCTACGCTCGGAGAAGACTATGATTGACATCGAGGCTCCGGTCACCGGTGAGTCGAAGCTTAATCCTGTTAAATTCCATTTGAAATTAAGTTTAACGACTTCGGTCAAATTGACTGCCGGCGACGATCGTTGGCGGAACGAGTCTTCGCAATCCGTGCCGACGTGTGAGGCCGTCTTGATTAATCGAATGTAAGATATGCGCGTTTTAATTGAAATTGAAAATTCGGTCCACCGTTCGGTACGTCCCCGCCGTTTTCTTGATCAATTATCCCTGAATTAAGTTCGTCGCGACGGTCTCCTTTGTGGCGTCCGCTGATTGTTCTGGTAGCGCGGAATAGGAGAACGTAATAAATCCCACCCCCTCGGCTATATACTTCGGATCGATTCGGTCCTATTTCCTTGTCTGCTTTCACTGTGCCCCTCCCACAGCCACTCGCCGTCATCCTTTTACACACGTACCATTGACAGTTATTACCTATCCTCCCCGCGATACAGATTTCATTTAGTGGGATTAATGTAGCAAACGCGCGTCCCGCGTTTGTTTTCCCTTTTGAAAGAATTTCCCGTCGAGGAGCCGTCTTGAAAATGACTGAAAAAAGTCACCGGAGCGAGATGCTCGACCCATAAGAGAGCAAAAATAATCCGCGTAAAATAATATTTTCCACGGCGTCTGATTTGCTTTTAATTGACGGGATAATTGCTTCATTACGAATCTCGATAACCGATCGGAGAGCTGCGAAATATCGGCTTTAACTCTCTCGGATCATTATGAACGTCTTCGATAATGGGAGGAGATAATTAATTATAAGTCACAATTAATTAAAGATACCGAGACGCTTACCGCTTCTATTTATTTATGTTCGTTTGCTCGGAAAATATATTCCCACCGCGGCGAATAACTTTCGATAACATCTATCAAATCAATGTGTCGCGTGCACGCCGGCTCGCGGCAGCCGCACGCTGCTGCAGCATATTTTTTGCGCATATGCTCGTCGCATCGGAATCGATGGTTAGCGAATCGGCCTTAGATTTATTTCACGTCGATCGGCGACCGGCGGAATCGCGGTTA